AATTTACTATCATAAGAATATATCTAGAGCACACCAACCCACAATCAAAAACTTCTAATGCATTTAAAGAAAATACAATTTTGACTAGATTAAAAAAAGTTTAAGGAAACAGGATAAAGAAAACAGGGTGTTCTGCCTGGCTGTCAATGTGGCTTAGAAGAGCTGCCAAAGACACTGTACAGAGCAAGGTACTTCTGTTTCTAGGTCAAAATTAAATAAAATTAGGCCCAATTCTTAAATGTTAACAGGCTTTGGCAAAGTTTTATTACTTTATTTTGAATTATGAATAACATGTTTTTTTATTATGATAGATAATTCTACAGAAGTACACAGAATTGGAAAAACTAAAAAGTTTCAATAAATGTACAACATAATCTACCCCCCTGCATGATTTTACAAAAGCCTTCAAGGCTAAACCTCACACTTCCTATCAGCTCAGGAAAAGGAAAACTGTTGGCTTTCTCGTGACATGCCAACAAGAGCCTGTGTTACTAGTTTGGTCAGTCTGGAGGATTAGAAGGGTGGGCCATATTCATTGACTTGCTGCTTTTTCTTTTCTCTGTCTTTCAAAGGTGTTCAGACTTCAGAAACTGAAAAGCATCTGCGGAATAGCTGTACCCAGCAAGATGCACCTGGCATTAAAGCATAGTTCTCCCTCAGTTACTTGTACTTTGCAATCTCACAGCAGTCATTTAACAGACTATTTGAAGGAAGGGGGGAAAAAAAGCAATAAGTGCATAGGATGGACTTTGAATAATTTAATCAAGGCATCAAGGCTTTGGGCTAAAGTCAGGGCAGAGCAAAAGATATCATGGGAGTTTGTTAATCTGCCAGAAATATGTAATGACTAAATAAGTAATTACTACTCTAAATATGCTTCACACTGGGCCCCTCCTGCACTCACTCAGGATATTTCTTCATCTCTCATGCAACCTGCCCATGTGACAAGTCTGTGCACATACTGTACCTAATTAGTGTCAAGTATAAGAGCTCCTCAGCATGTGTCTCATGTCTACAAACCCCTCCTGGAAGCAGTTTTTCCAGCATACAAAGAATAAGCCATCCTAATCTTAACTCTCTCAGAGGATAGCTCCCAAATAAGGGCAAAATAAACATGTAATACGCAATAAAGATTTCTAATTAGACATTATTCTCTTAAAGTAGAGAATGCTCTGTGTCTTCAAAGCATTAAGCGCAAAATATTCCAAGCAATTAAGTATGTCATGGTAGGTGAGACAAGCACTTTAACAGAGCAAGGTAACTGTGGAAAACTGATGATGCAGTCTGCCTCTGTCTCAGCACGCTCTGGGGAAAAGGAATTTTCTTCTATTTATAGATCTGGTGCTGAATTTTTTCCAGATGTTTAATCCTGCTTCCATTCATCTCAATAGAAAAATTCTCAGTGGCTTGGTTGAAAGCAGGTCTAGATCATAAATATTGGCATCAAATAGCAGTACTTCCAGTGCACTACTCTATACCTATATTAAAAATAACAATAAATCACTGCACCTGGGATTGACTCTTGACACTAATGGAGACAGGCCCACTCCTTGCAAGTGGTCAAAGTCTGGCTTGGATGGGAGGCAGAGCACCAGGCAGGGCAGCTGCACCCATCTGGGGACACACGGCCCATACCACATCCCGACACCCCGGCTGTTGCCGGCCCCAGTGAGGAGCATCGGCACCTCTGCAAGCACAAGCAGGGAAGGCATTGCTTTTCTTGTGTGCGTATGAGATGCAGTTTTCACTTTCCTACGTACATTCATAGTATCGTTCGTTATTTGCATACTGCATTTGCAATCAGAGATTAAACTCTGTGGTAACCAAACCTAATAAATGAAACCAGTAATAGCAGAATATGATCTAGTTGGATTAAACATACAAGAAAATTGTGTTCCAGGGTCATCTGCAACTCATTTTTTCCCATTAAGTTGAAGTTACAGCTTTACCAACATTTCCTGTATATCACATATGTGGCTTGGACACAGCCACAGCTTTGGCATGCCTGTTAGAAAGCCTAAGCACTAATTTTTTAAAGCACCTGTTTAATCCAAACATACTTTTTTCTGCTGTCCCAGCCTTTGATTTTTCTCTTGTTAACTCTTTATCTTCTGAAGGCTGTACTGACTTTTATGGCAATTTTAAGGAATCCATGATAAGTTTCAATTTTAGAATTATTTTTCTGTTAAGTCTAGTCTTTCTTCTCTCATATTTTATTTCTAATAAGCAGTTGAGTTTTTTCTGCCCAAAGTGAACTGCTCCCTGCAGACTCTCACACAAGCTGGAGCTACAGCTCTGTGTGCCACTGCCACCCTGCGTGGCTTAATTCACTCCCCACGCACCCACCACTACTGGATACGAGCAGGGTAGCATAGCCTTTTTTGCGCTAACAGAGCAAACAACTGTACTAGCAGACCATAACATGGTCTAAGCCTTGTGACTAACTGGCACATCCTATTTCCTCAAGCATACATGCAGCTAGAGTTCAGAACTGAGACATTCTGATAGTTTTGCCTTAAAAATCAACAAACATAGCCCACGGCTATAGAGGGAACTTGCCTGCTTTCCCAAAGGCATCAGGGGCTGCGGACAGCCACTTGCCTCAGACCTGCTAAAGCACTACTGTGAAACAGCACTGTGCATTGCTTTCTAAACTTCTTGCCCCTTTAATATCTCAGACTTGGGTTTTCAAAAAATAAAGCTTCAAAAACCCATGTACTCCTAGCACAAGGAGTCAAAGTTACTCCATCTCCCAGCCTCCCCAGAAGTAGGTACTAAGGAAGCATCCCTACTCCAGGAGCAGAGCAACAGGTACATACCTGCTCTGCTTGCCCCCTCCCCAGGCACCAATGGTACCAGAGAGAAACTGTTATTAACTTGATAAACAACTCAACACAACCACATGCTGTATAACTGACAAATACACTGCCCTTTTGGAGCCTCTCTAGTAAACTCTGTATGCCAGCTAGTGCTTAATACATATGTGCTTTTTTAACTGACCAAAACACAACACTCAGACAGGCAAGGCTTTCCAAAGGATAAAAAAAAACAAACTAACAGGAACTCCTACACCAGGACTCTAACAAGGGTCCTACTGAAAGGAAGTCAGCAAACCCAGAACTACATTTTAGTCACTCAACTGGAAGATTAGCTTACCCCTAGACATGTCTAGGAGAGACTCAGGAAACCATAGGAGCTGGAGCACTTCCTTAGGTAAGCATGCAAGGGGCTAACAACTCCAAGAGGCCAGCCTAATGAAGGCTTAATTAATTAGTTAATCATTTACCCAGGGACAGCTGTGGTGGGAAGCAGAGTGGTGAAAATGCCTGTACCTGTGCAGCAGGTGTGTGGTAGGTGTTCAGTCTCTGGGCTGGACTTCCTCTCCTACCTTGCTCACTGCCTTCTGCTGAGAGCTGGCTAGGTCAGAGCCTGTCTTCTGCTGGTGAAGAAGGAGGTCCCCTAAACAGAAAATAGTCCCATGATGGCTTAAGTTTAGTGTTGTACTGAAGGAGTTACGTGCTTCTGAGGTGAACAAGAAGGGCTCAGAGAAGAGCACCTGTGGGCACAGTAGGACAAGCGAAGCCAAACATGGAGGTGGCTGATTTTGTGTTACTCTAAGAGAGGTGGTGAGGATTACCAGGAAACAGTTTGTGTCTCTTCCTCCTGTCAAAAGCCAGAGCAGCAAGCCCCACAATCAAAGGAAATTGGTACTCTGAATGATATCCTGAGGAAATGTCTCGAATTTGAGAGGCAAGGCAGCCAGGAAGGTCAAAAATTAATTAACAAAGAATTAACAGCAGCCAGAGAGGATAAGACTGGAAACTTCTGTGTGACTCACGAGGAGCAGCAAGGGGAAAACCGAGCAAGGCGAGCTGCCGCGGTCAGGGCCACCTCCTGTCGGAGGGTGCTGCCCCGCCAGCGGGCACACGCGTGCGGGGGTGCCCCCCGCCTGCCCAGAGCCACCGCTCCGACTACCGCATAGCCGGTCCGGCGCAAAAGCAAACCGCACTGGTCGACGAACATAAGCGGCGCTCACCAGCGGGTGGGGAATTGCCTCCGGACAACTGCGCGATCTGAAAGACCTTTGTCTTCCGGGACTATTCATCCTGAACTCTGATATTTGCTGTTATCAGAACTTAAGGGGCCGTTATTAGACTTACTGATAGTGAAACAGGTTGCTGTGGAAGGGCAAAGAGAAAATTGCCTGTGTGCTACCGTTCCCGAAGGCCAGCCGGCCCTCGGCTCCATGGCGTAGCACTCAAGGGCGCCATGTTTTCCAGTGCGCCTCAGTGCCTCCTGCCAGGCACCTGCTAAGCGTGCCGGCCGCCTTCGCATTTTCAACA